GTGTAGCCACGCCTGCCCTGTTTCTGTTGCTGCGATCTGCTGATGACTGTGAAGCACGGAGATTGTCAGTAGCCAGGGACAGAGGAAAGGATGTTCTTGCATCTTGAATTTCTCCCTGTTTGTCTTTTCCAGAAGCCTTTGGAAATGTCCTGGAAGAGAAGTCCTCTCCTCCTCCTGTATTGAAATCTCGTAAAACAGCAACTTTGGACAGCAGGCAGCTAAACCAAGTAACCGCTGGCCACACCAAGAAAGAAGGGCTCTCTTTGTTCAGTGGCCTTAAATCCAAAAACGATCCTGTGTCCAAGTCTAGTCTGTGCATCAATGGCAGTCACGTTTATATGGAAGAGAGCACGACGAAAGACAGCACTCCTGCATCTACCCCCTCTCCTCACAACTTCAGGAGGAAGCAGCTCTTTGCTTCAGAAGAGAACCTGTCCTCCAGGCCTGCTAAAGGCCCTGAGGAGACGGGCAGAACGTCTCCTAGCCATGCTTTCTCTGGGTCTGCATCCTTGGAGACCTTTAAATCTATGACTTTGCCGTCGTACAAATTGCTTTGCAGTGAAGAATACCTGGAAACCAGCGCTCCTCCGAGTGTCGAGGTTGTTAAAGAGACCAAAAAAGCGGACCACAAAAAGTCTGCCGTACTCTCTCTGGTCACGGGGAAGAAGGAAGCGGTGAAGACCAGCAGTGCCGAGAATGTTTCTGACAGGACCCTGCAGGAGGAGGAAAACAGAATTCCAGAAGAGAAGAGCAAACAAGAGGCCGAACACCGTGAGCTTCCAGCAGATTCAAGCAGAGGGAATCCTTCGGAAGACAGTCACCGCGCAGAAGACGTCTTTGCAAATCAGCAGCCGCTCAACCCTTTTGAGGAAGAACGGAAACCTGAAAAAGCTGCAGCGCCGGCAAAGACCAAAGCTGTCAAGCCCAGGTCAGTGGTGGAGGGTGACACAAATAGCGATGCGCAGCGGCGGTGGCAGGCTGTGGGCTTCCTGCCACAGAGCAGCGCTTCGCAGAGCCGCGTGGCTTTGGGCTGGCCGCTGGGCCCTCGTAACAAAGAATCATTCCGAGTTCTCTCTCGGGATGAAAGAGAGGTCGATACAGGGGTGTTCCTTGTAAGTGATGCCGAAATAGTGGGTCTCTGAGCACAGGCATCTGCGGGTACTCTAGGGGTGATTTTTCTTGCTGAAAGAACTAACATTCTTCTGAGCTGTGGGGCTTGGACGTACCCAGGGGCTGAAATACCATTTCTAACATCTCTGCTCCTCTCTTCCATATTTGGCTTGTGGCCTTCGAAAGAGTTCATCCTGGAGCCTTGCTGCTTCTGGCATTATCACAGCAACATGAGGGACATTTGTGTGAAGTTATACACAAGGCTTTTTCGGAAATTCTGCTCCTTTGTCCTTCATATATATATATATGTGTGTGTGTGTATAAAAAAAACCCCATCTGTGTGTGTGTATTTATATATATATATATGGGTGTGTCCTACTAATAGGGCTATGTGTTGTGTCTGTCTCTAACTCCTTATTTTCAGGGCTTCTCATCTTTAAACATTGTGCGTATGAAGCGTCTTGCGTACTAATAAAATGGCTTGGGTGCAGAAGCTGAGGTAGCGCTTAAAAGCAGCCGGGGCAGTAACCTGTGCAAACCCTAGAGCAGAAGTGTTCTCATGTAAAGGCACTTTGAAGTACATAAAGCCTATCAGATAGGCTCTGAGGTCTCCTGCAAGTATAATTCACCTCCAGTGCTAGGAGTTGATGGAGTCTGGTGCTAAAGCTTGTCTGTTCCTGCCTCGGGTTGCATCTGCAAGTGACATGCGAGTTTTTTGTCCCTTTTTGCAGACTGGGCGTGTCTTCAGAGGAGGAAACCAAGGCCACGCTTCCTACTTTTGCACCTGATTCCCTTCCTGCTTATCTTTCTGCACACCGTATCAGCAGTGACAATAATCCTTTTATTTCTAAAATGGGACAGAAAGTCAAAGTGCCAGACTCTGAAAACATTACTAGTTCTCCTGCATCTGTCACTTCTCCTCCTCCCTTTGCTGCAGGGCTTTTGAGTGGCAAGAACCCCTTTATTTCTGACTGGGGCAGGGCATCCGCAGCCCTGAATCCCGAAGGCGTTGCCCATCTCCCCTCGTCCCATCATCCTGCAGCCTCCGTTCCCAAAGTGCCTCTTCCTGGGCAGGTCTCTGGTAGTGGTCGTAATCCTTTTGTTTCTGAGTCGGGGCAGAGCTCGTGGGGCCACGGTCCTGAAAGCTCTGGTACACAGGCTTCCCGGGGTCTCCCTCACCCACCCGCACCTTCTCTCCCCTCTGATTGCCATTTTAATGACAATAATCCCTTTGTATCCAGGCTTGGGTGGGAAGCAGATGCACCGGGTGTCAAAGCTGCTGCTGGTTCTTCCCCTTTCGGCCTTCCTTGTGATGAAGACCGTTCCTCAGCAGAACGCTCTGCTGAGCTGAAACGCTCTGGTCCTGATGCTTCAGGGAGCTCTTCAGACGTGGCTGTAACGAGTAACGTCAAAGCTGTCTCGAAGCCTCTCGGCACCCTTGCTGACAGCCCTGCTCTGGCTCCAAAGAAGCGGTGCGATTCTCCCCAGCTTCAGGCTGAGGCTTCTTTGAAAAGAAGCGAGCTAGGCAACATGAAACCTGTGTCCTTCCTCCGTGACGGATCGGAGGGTGTCACATCGGGTGATGAGGATTTGGGTGGGCAGGAACGTGAAAAGCAGCACTCCGGTTTCACTGGAGTGTTACTGGTGGGTTCAGATGCGGCAGGAGAGCGAGCAGGGTTTGCTCAGGATCTGGAAGCAGGGTGCTACCCATCGTCAGAACTCCCCAGTGACAGCGCAGGTCCCATCCGAAACGGCGAGACCCCTGTGCGGGGTGGTGTGGGAGTGAGCGCTGTAAACGCTGAGCCCTGCACAAAGCCCAGCAAACGCTTTGAATCTCTCTCAAAGTGTAGTCGTAGCCCCGTGGCAGGGGTCAGTGCTGAACAGCCTCCTTCCCCTGAGAGGGAGCCCCACGAGAAGCGGGAGATCCTTGGTGTAAACAGACGAGAAGAACGTGCGCCCCAAGCAACTCCGCTGGATAAAAACTCATTTGCTCAAGCGGGATCTGCCAAGCCAGCCGCGGGAGCTGGCACGCTGTCCCCTGGGGAAGCCGGGGCAGGGGGGGCTGGCGGTGAGGGGCTGGTCGCTCCAGAGCCAGCACCGCGGCGGTCCTTAACGCTGAAGGAGAGCCCGCCGCTTCCTCAGGCTGACGAGTTAAGTGGTGCTGTGCCTTCTTCAGGGGATGGTGTCCAGTCTGCGCCGGGGCTCCCATTAGCTGATGATAAAGCCTCAGATGCTCGTGGGTGCCTCCCCCAAAGTGGCTCGTTAGAGACTGTCACTTCACCAGTGATGCTCAGGGATGACATCAATAATTGGCATTTGAAACATGAAGGTGATGACGATCTATTTGACTGTCTTACAAATCTAAAGTCTGCTGTTCCCATGAGTGGAGACCGTGGTTCGAAACTGGCCAGCCTTCCCGTTATCCCGGAGGGAGGCTCCGACGACGAGCTGCTGGGTGACTCTCAGGAGAACCGGGGTGTTGCTGCAGGTGGTGGAAACGTTTCAGAGACTCCAAAGCAGTCCCTGGATTTAATGCCTCTGCACGGAGAGCTGAAAGAGCACTCTGAGAGCTCTGCCGCAGCCCAGGCAACCCCGGCTGCTCCAGGAGGAGGAGGAGGAAGTGCTCCTGGTGCCTGTGAGCCGGGCAAACCACCCGTGCTGCCTGCCAGAGTGGGTGTTCACAGTCTCAGTAAGCAGGTAGCTGACTCAGGCTTAGGCATGACGTCTCATTCCAGAGAGTGGAGTAGTCGTTTTGAGAAACAAGAACTGAAAATAGGTGCAGGTGTTGAGGAGTGTGACTTCTCTGAGCCTTCTGTTTCCTCTTCCTCCCTGTCCAGTCCTTCCCAGCCCTACTCTTCCTCTCATTCTCTCCCTTGTGACACCCCGAGTCTTAGAGCAGAGTCTCCGAAAAAGCCAACAGCCGAGGGCTCCGCAGATAAAGCAGGAAATTCTGGCAAGAAGAAGCTTCTTCAGGCCTGGGTTTCACCCTCTGAAACATATCCTAACCAAACTCAGCAGAGTGGTGAAACCGTGGCTCCTAAGCACAGGTGAGAGAACCTGGGGAACACAGAGAAAGTATCGCAGAGCTGAGGTGAGCCTTGCTTTTTCTTCCTGGGAGCGCAGCTCTGTCTCTCCAGCTGCAGGAATTTACTTTGCTTTGCAGTGATGTGGCATCGTACGGCCTTCACTCCCTCCAGCCTGTGGATCTGCCAGGGCCTGGGTCCGGTCCTGCCGGCGCAGGGTCGTTGCTGCCGTCGGATAAATCTGCATAGCTATTAAGCACACCCAGGGGACCTGCCGTTCATCACAGTGCTGCCTCGCAGGACAAAACGTTAGGGAAACTTGGTCACAGTTAAAGAAATAGGGGTAATTTCATCAAATTGGGGAAACGGACTGCAATTCATCCATGTTTCAGAAATGGGAGAATGGTCACAGGAAGCCTGGTAAACTGGGATGCTTCCTTTGCTGCCGAGCTGGGCTGCTGAGGTCCTGCTGTCCGAGGAGCGGTGCTGCTGGCCTGGCAGCCCTCGGTACTTTATCTGCAGCACTCCCTCTAGGGCCCAGGACGCTTCTGGGCTGACGTTTGCTGAGATACAAGTCAAATTTTCTTCCTGTGTTAAAATTGGCAATATAAACCCTGCTCGAGCAAATGAAGGTAGCACTTTTTGGCAGCTTATGGCCTAAGTTCAGACTGGAAAAGGCGTAATATGTGCCTGTCCCAGGATAGCAGAAGTATTTGGTGTGTTCTCGTTAGGAAAGCCAGGCTCGAATCCTGGTGTGTGACAGGTCAGAGTAGCTGCTGCTGCGTGCTGCCTGCTCCTGTAGACAGACCTGCCTTTGCTTTGTGGCATACCATGCGGGGTGCATGTCCCTTGCTACTGCTGCTCTATCGCCAGTGCCTGAAGTCAGTCAGGATAGTAGAAAGAGAACTGGAGTATACTTCTAAAAAGCCTGTAGCTTAGACAGAAATGTCTTGTCTGCCTGAAGGTGAATCTCATATCTCTCTGGAGATAGAGAAGGGTAGGATTTTTTCCCAATTTCTTGCTATATGAGTTTTTTGTCTGAATATCTGTGTAGTGCTGGTGTTGTGTGCTCTGCCTAAATAACATAAACCTCCTTTAACGTTGCAGACTCCACCCTGTGAAGCCAATGAATGCCACGGCAAACAAATCTCAAAGTAAAAACCTGAATGTCATCAGCACGATGCACGAAAAGCTGCTGGAGGTGAATCTGAAGGTACGGAGGCGCTTTAAACCGAAGCTGAAGCAGTAAACTGAGCAGAGTTCGTGTGTTGGTGGGGGTTTGCTTGTTCATCACAGTGCTGCCTCGCAGGACAAAACGTTAGGGAAACTTGGTCACAGTTAAAGAAATAGGGGTAATTTCATCAAATTGGGGAAACGGACTGCAATTCATCCATGTTTCAGAAATGGGAGAATGGTCACAGGAAGCCTGGTAAACTGGGATGCTTCCTTTGCTGCCGAGCTGGGCTGCTGAGGTCCTGCTGTCCGAGGAGCGGTGCTGCTGGCCTGGCAGCCCTCGGTACTTTATCTGCAGCACTCCCTCTAGGGCCCAGGACGCTTCTGGGCTGACGTTTGCTGAGATACAAGTCAAATTTTCTTCCTGTGTTAAAATTGGCAATATAAACCCTGCTCGAGCAAATGAAGGTAGCACTTTTTGGCAGCTTATGGCCTAAGTTCAGACTGGAAAAGGCGTAATATGTGCCTGTCCCAGGATAGCAGAAGTATTTGGTGTGTTCTCGTTAGGAAAGCCAGGCTCGAATCCTGGTGTGTGACAGGTCAGAGTAGCTGCTGCTGCGTGCTGCCTGCTCCTGTAGACAGACCTGCCTTTGCTTTGTGGCATACCATGCGGGGTGCATGTCCCTTGCTACTGCTGCTCTATCGCCAGTGCCTGAAGTCAGTCAGGATAGTAGAAAGAGAACTGGAGTATACTTCTAAAAAGCCTGTAGCTTAGACAGAAATGTCTTGTCTGCCTGAAGGTGAATCTCATATCTCTCTGGAGATAGAGAAGGGTAGGATTTTTTCCCAATTTCTTGCTATATGAGTTTTTTGTCTGAATATCTGTGTAGTGCTGGTGTTGTGTGCTCTGCCTAAATAACATAAACCTCCTTTAACGTTGCAGACTCCACCCTGTGAAGCCAATGAATGCCACGGCAAACAAATCTCAAAGTAAAAACCTGAATGTCATCAGCACGATGCACGAAAAGCTGCTGGAGGTGAATCTGAAGGTACGGAGGCGCTTTAAACCGAAGCTGAAGCAGTAAACTGAGCAGAGTTCGTGTGTTGGTGGGGGTTTGCTTGGGCTCATGTCGCATACCCTGAGCAGAAAAAGAACAGTGGTTACTAGACCGTGGGGCGCGTGAAGACTGGACAAATCAGACACTGTGTGTTTTCAGACGTGATTAGTCTCCAGAGCTTCTTTTCACCCTGAAATAAGCTTGTGGCTCTTAAAGCTGAGAAGGTGGGAAAACATCACCTCGGGGTGGCTGTTGCCTTGAAACGTGCTGCGTTAATGTCCTGTGCAGGGTGAGGGAGCAGGCGCCTGCCGTTAAAGCGCGGCTGCTTCCTGACAGCCTCGCTGTGCCGCTTGCATGATCACGCAGATTTAAAGGAGTTTCTGTGTAATCTTGGCCTCGAAAGAGCCCTCCAGACTTGAGGCACAGCTTAAAAGTCGTGTTGATCAGGATGGCTAGAAGCGTCTCTGAGTCAGCAGGGAAAAACCCTGGGTACCGTTATTGGCTCTGAGGGATTTTTGGGGAAAATGCGAAGCGAGTACTGAAATAACCGTAGTGCCTCCTCCTGGTGTGAGGGGAAGAGAAGGAAGTGTGAGGTGAGTGATTCCAACTGACGTGTTGCTGTTTGGAATGAGTTGAAAACTTGTAATTAGTGTTCTGGTGTGGTGCTCTGACTCGACGTAAGAAATGATGCTTGCTGCTGTGTGCCGGGGCTGGCGCTGGGGGTTAGCGTCTGCGCAGGCAGCCGGAGGAGCGGCAGGAGCTGCCGCGTGCCGCTCAAGCTTGCTTAAGGGCTGAAGGCAGGCTTTTCGGAGGAGCTGTGCTGTGATGGGTTTTCACAGTGATCAGTAAGAGGGAAATGCTGCGTGCCTAGGTGGGTGTTTCTTGCTTTTTAACCTGAATTTGGCTTTCCTAGACTTTGATGTGTTTTAAGCAATAGCTGTTCCAGTGCTCTTCTGTAAATGGTGGTAGCTGATGGTGCGTGGCGGTAACTGCCGTACGTCTCGGCTGAGCTGGGTGGGCTGCTGCCTGCAGTCAGCGTGACATTCTTTCAGCGTAATTTGCAGCAGAGCCGAATTACAGAACTGAAATGGTGCACAGATTTTATGCTAAAACCAATGGCCTGGTTACCGTCCATAACGTCTGTCTCGCTCTGAGCCTGCCTGCTGTTCTGGAGAAGACTGCCCAAGCACCATAAATCGTGTCTCTGTGCCATAAGTAGCACGCGCTTACTCTGAGGCAGTTGCTCTTTTTTCCTCCAAATGCTTTCAATGTGCTGTTCTGCACGCTGCAAGGGCACGAGTGGGTGGTGTTTTGCGTGGCTTTTTCCAAGCTAGGTTTGCTGAATGGCCCGAAAGGTGCTTTGTAGCAGAAAGCTGGCCTGGGCTGCCAGCCTCCCCCTGCCACTGTGCGCAGCTGGGCCCTGGGCAGCCTGCTCTTCCTCACCATGAAGGGCTACTGACTGACGTCCCGCCATGTCGTTTGGCTGGAACAGATTTTTATAAAAAGATAGGACGCGCAGTAGCACTTCTGAAGAGCAGCTGTGGTTCTGCACGCACCGTCTGCGAAGTTGTTCATTGCTGCGCTAAATCCCGCAAGCCAGCTGGCAGATAACGTTCTGTTGCTCTTCTGAAATGCCCGTATGTCTGTAATGACCCTGCCTTTCCCCTCTCTCTCCCTCTCAGAAATACGATCCTTCAGATCCGGCCTATGCTTATGCTCAGCTGACACACGATGAGCTGATCCAGCTGGTCTTGAAGCAGAAGGATACGATTACCAAGAAGGATCTCCAGGTGCGTGAGCTGGAAGACTACATTGATAACTTGCTTGTCAGAGTCATGGAAGAAACCCCAAACATTCTTCGTGTCTCAACGTCTGGAAACAAGAAAGCTGGAAAGATGTGAAAGCTCTCGGGACGCTGGTTGAGCAAAGGGCTGAATCCCTGCCAGTGGGGTTTGATTAATAAGGAGACGATGTGAAGTGGGTGGTGCCGGTCGTGCTGCCCACAGAAAATGACCTCTTTCCTGTTTCTGCCTTGAGCAACTCTCCGTTTCATTAGTCGCTGTTACACCAGGTCTTGTGTATGGAGTCCGGAAGTGGAGTCAGCTTATCATACTTATTTTTTGGTTGCTTTCCATTATTTGGGAAGATTCGTTGAGGCATCTAATCGAAGGCTGACTGCGGTAGGAAGGGTGAAGGGTTTTTGATGTGTTTTGCTTGCCAAGCGAGGCACTGATGATCCTTTGTGAAGATTTTTTTCGTGGTTTTATTTTGTAACAGCTTTGATAGATCAATTACTCTTCTTTCCATATCTGAAGTTGTAGTGCAATATGAAATCTTGTACAGTAGAGCTTAGAGGAATTGATTGTTTTAAAAAAAAAACCCAATATTAATAACTACACTGGAGAATTCCAAAGATGTGTGCTTCAGACCAGGGCTGCGTGGGCTGTATTTTAGAAGTAACTGAAGCCCTGAAAGTTAAGTGCAGGTTAAACCTTAGATTGGAAAGGAAGAAGCAAAGCTTAGCTGATCTCATGAAGTAGGCGCTGTTTCAAAGCCGTTCTCCAAGGGGAAGGTTTTTCTGGTATAGGAAACACTGAGACGTCATGGTACGTTTGTCTGCCACAGGAATGGCAGTAGTGAATGTGGCCAAAGGTGCAATTTAAATCAGAAGCTGTTCTCTCACAGACTTCAGATTCCTAACTTGAAGGTCGGTCAAACCAGGGAGGCAGAGGTACACCTGTTCTGATCTGTAGCCTTGCACAGGTGTGGGTTTTGCCGTACACGTGCCTGGCCTGTGTCTCTTGCTGTGTGGGAGTTCTGTGACAATTTTCCTTTTACACCGTTGCAGTTTGTTAAATTTAACTAGCTTGGATTTGGGGGCTGGGGCTTACCTCGGAACAGCCTGCAAAGGTGGTCGGCTTACAGCGCGCTCTTTCGTGCATCCCTTGTCTTGCCAAGAGAGGAGCCGAATCGCCCTCCCCCGGGGAGCTGAGCTGGCGCTCGGATCTGGTTTGGGATGCTCGGAAAGGAGTGAAGGTTTTAGGCAGCGGAGAACGAGTGCTGGTTTTGCTGGACAATCGATACCCTCAGTCCGCTTCCTTAGTGCGTGGCGGCAGCTCGATCCAGGCACGTACGTTCCGCGCCCCGTCTCATCGGGCAGCAGGTAACGGCGTAGCGCTGTCGAGCAGCTGCCACAGCAGCCTGCCTCCACGGAAAAACTGCATGTGGCTTTTCTTTTGGTGAGCTCTTGTCAAAGATGGAAAGATGAGATGCCTCTTTGCAGCCCTGGGGTTTGTCAGGGTTGGAAGAGTACCAAAAGCGTGGGTAGCAGAGGACCAAAGCACACGCTCTTGCCTTTGGAAGTGCAAAGGGCCTGTTGGGTTGCTCCTGGCTCAGCTCGGGAGGGGGGAGGCTCCCAACTCGGTTTTTCTGCAGCAAAGCACTTTATTGAGGGACTAGACCAGCTGGAGCGACCGTCAGCCTGCTAGTAGTCTGCCTGCGATGTTCATAAAACACTGAAAACTACTGGAGACTTCTCAAATACTGTACTTTTGTAGTGAAGAGTAGTTTAATATATTTGCCTAGAGATGTATACATTTATGGGAAAATTTTTAAAATGCTCTTAATTACATTTTTATTGCTGCAAACTGACTAACTACCAAAGTCTGGAGCTCTTCTGGCTGAGCTGTCCTTCACGGGAAGCTTGAGCTGAAACAAGCCTTAAGCGCTGAGGGTCTTCAGAGACTGCGGGTACTTTTTTCCCATTTTATTTTTGTTCGAGCGGATGTCTTTGGTGGAGGGGTTGCTTCTTTTCTGCTGTACCCTCTTCTGTGAATGAAGGGTCTGAAACGCAGAAGGGCTTAGAGGCATCTGCAGCTCTTGGCCGGTGGTTTTAATTTGGAGTGGTACTGGTTGGCCTCGCTGAAAACTGCGGCTGCTTCTCGTGCCTTGAACCAGTGAGGAAGATGAAGGATTAACTGGTTTCCTCCTCGTGCCTCGGTGGATCTCTGGAAAGAAGCGGCTGCCTATACCTCACTAATAAACTTGTCTTCTAGACTGGATTCCACGGCTTTCTGATGTTCTAGGTCAGAGAGTCAGAAAAACCAGTTGTGCCTTTGAACGGTGAATTAATGGTTCAGAAGTCCAAAATGGTGTTACTGGTGCTCGTAACTGGCTGTGTGGGAAGCGAGACTGGGCTCTGGCCTTGTGCTGGGCTCGTTTCACCGCAGTGCGGGTACTGCCGAGTCGCGGGCTGCCGAGGGCACCGTGGTGCTGTGCGCGATGCTGCTGGCGCGGGGATTGCTGTGGAGTTTGGGTAACGCGCGTTCCCGCGGGCAGGGATGCCGCGCGGCCGGAGACGGAGCGGGGGCACGGGCTCTGCGCGGCCTGCCCGGGGCGGAGGCCTTAGAGCTTGGAGCGTGGTCTCCTGGCAGGCTGCTTTGCCGGCCGCAGCCGTGCCCGCTGAGGGGCCCCGGCTGCGTGTGGCTC